CTCTCTCTCTCTCTCTCTCTGTGTGTGTGTGTGTGTGTGTGTGTGCGTGTGTGTGTGTGTGTGTGTGTGTGTGTGTGTGGTGAGTGAGGTGAGTGAGGTGAGTGAGTGAGGTGAGTGAGGTGAGTGAGGTGAGGTGAGTGAGGTGAGTGAGGTGAGTGAGGTGAGTGAGGTGAGTGAGGTGACTGAGTGAAGTGAGTGAGGTGAGTGAGTGAGTGAGTGAGTGAGTGAGTGAGTGAGTGATGAAGACGAGGAGGAGGAGGTAAGGGAGAAGAAAAGAAGAAGAATATAATACCAATAACAACCACTGAAAAGCAGAGCCTTGAGCCACTGATGCACTCCTGGTGCCTCGAAGAAGAAGACCGACTGCGGCTGGCGGTCGTCCTCCAAGCTATGGCACCAGGTCAGTGACTCCCCAACCTATCTCCTCTAAGCACGATTCCACTCTCCATGAGTTATAGGCGGCATACGTTCTTGGTGTCAGTTTTGTTGTCCTACCCAAGATCTTGATGCCCTAGTCCAGATTGTGTTGTTGGATTGTTTTGTCTGAACGGGCACAGGTCTGGACAGGCACAGGTCTGACCAGTCCAGACCTCTGGATGATACTGTTTCCTGTTTTGGCGCAGTTTGTCTGTCTGTGGCTGTGCCTGATGTTTGTCCGTAGTGCTTAGGCCAGCTCTAGGCCCAGGTCCGAATGCTGACAAAGCGAGTTGAACCTGTGCACTACTGCCAAAGCTTGTAAATACAGCTGGGACACAAGTGAATGGAAATGAGGTGGATTAGGTGTAGATCATTTGCCGAAACTAAGCCAATGAGATCAAGTATGTCTGTCCCACACACCCGAGACATCAAAATGCTCTCAGGCTATCCTGAGGGGTTGGGAATCCGGAGCAAATTTAGCAGTTCCAGACACCAAGCAAACAAACCCAAAGGAAGAATTGCTATGAAGTTCGGAACACAATTTACCAATTTTACATCCACATTGAGACACAGCACTTCAGGGCCTTAATACGCCTTATGATAACAAGCAGATGCCCACCACTAACGCTGGTGGGGACCAAGAGGGGGGCGCGGGGGGGAGGGAGGGGGAGAACACATATACTCACCACATCCACAAAAGACAAAAAACATGGGGGTGTATCTTTCCATGTTCTAGCCGCAGATTCGTTCTCATTTTGCACATTTCGTGAGTAGCGGAGCGAGCCCCTGAATCTTCCGCCAGAACATGGAGAGATACACCACGATAAGTATGACCGCTATGGAAGGCTGAAACATGTAGATAGCTAAATGGTCCCTCAGTTGGATAGCCATGCAAGTGGCATTTGCCCAATTGCGTTGTCGTTTCTACAGATGCCACCTGTTCGAAAGCAAGCACATGGCACTCCACCACTCTCCACATGCGCAGAAGACAAAAAATATGGGAATGGGAATGTATCTTTCCATGTTCCCGCCGGATATTCAGTCTCATTCTGCACATTTGGAGGTAGCAAAGCCAAGCCCGATGATGCGCATCAATGGACAGATAGAGCCCCTCGCTCCACTACTCGTCAAATGTGCAAAATCACACAATCCTCCGCTGGAACATGGAAGGATACATTCCTGTATCTCTACTCCTGAAATGTGCAAAACTACACTGAATCCTCCACCGGAACATGGAAAGATACGCCCCCGTATCTCTCATCTTTTAAGACTGTGGAGAGTAGCAGGGCGCCTGGCGCCCGGAGAAACGACAAAAAAATAAAACGAACAGAATCGGGCGTATGTACTGGTGTTAAATCCTGCGCTGGAACATGGAAAGATACACTCCCGTATCTTTTGTCTTTTCCGCATGTGGAGAGTAGCGGAGCGCCTGGCGCTGGCAGAAACGACGAAAAAAATAAAACGAACAGAATCGGGCGTATGTACTTGTCTTCGAAAACATGCACCCCAGAACAGACATGAGAGCGTTCCATCTGGTTTTGATCTTCTGCCCTGCGGTTCCCCGTGGGACACTGCCCCCCCGGTACCTCTCACGCGCCAGCTATTTTGACTGGCCCCGGTGGGACCGGATTAGTCTTAGGAGTATATGATGCCCTCAGATCTCTGATAACAAAAATAGTGGAATAAGAAAGAAAAACACACAAACCTGTATCATCAAAGGTTAAGAGCATTGACCTGTAATCAATATCCAATATGTTCCTCGCCCCAAGAGCATGCTCTTTGTAAGGTCGGTATGTCCGCATTGAATCCGTATGATAAAGACGGAGATGTCCATCTGTGGGAGGTTAATTCCAAAGCACATAAACCAAGGTGCACACAGTGTGTGAAACAAATGGCATGGACATTGGATAAACAATATTAAGCATGGAGCTGACTGCACAGGCACAAACTGGGTTACATGGGTGTAGCAGATATCAGAACCCATGCACTTAGAAACTCAGACTTGTTTGACTGAATCTGCCCACAATTTCTGTCAGATGCATTCACAAAAGTGCTAGTTTGAGACTTCCCCGATGACAATTCGCCCTCATGTCAATCAAAATCTAACTCCCAATCCAAACAGGATCTCAAAAAACAAATTCATTATATGTAACAGGCTGAGACGGTGTCGTCCTATGGCAACCTCCATATGGCATCGACAACCACATCAATGTAGTTAGCGACTGTCAATTGTGACATCAACAGGATGGCAGGACATATGAAAGGCATTCCAATATGCAGACCCCAAATTCAAATCTCAGGGTCAAAGTGCCCAGGCCAAAAGAGGCCAGGTCTGCCTGTTTCAGAAAGGTTACGGCGGGCGCCCCAGAGGTAAAGTCCAACAGGTGCCCGATCAACAGTCACATCCAATGACTTGCTGATTTCTGCTGCCGAGATCTGACTGCGAGGGTGTACAGTTGTGTCCTAGGGTCAGATTCGTAATTTTGTTTGTGTCAGGGACTAACTGTGAGTTCAGTCCGAGGGAAATTCAGGAGGGACAGATTTGTAAATCTGGGAAAATTACACTCCCAGTTGTGCCACGAATTTCCTCTAGTACCCTCACTGCCTCTAGCAGTACCGGGCTATCCCTAGGACAGCCGGCCCAGCAGGCCTTGGGCTGTAGCAACGGTCTCACGCCGTATAGCCGGATATGGTCCAGGCCGAACAGGCCACACTGAAACGGTGCCGGTCCCAGTAGGTCTAGGTCTAGAGTAGGCTAGTCTATTAATAGGACTGAGCCGGTAGTTTAGGGACTTTTGGCTGTTCATTTTCGCGACACAGCGTTTGGAGCCAAGGAAGTTTCGTGGAGGCGATGGTCTGCAGGCGGCATCCTGAAACCCTCGTCGTGGTGTGGCAGCCATAGCTAGCCTTCTGGAGGTTGCCATAGCTGGGGCATCCTCAGAGCATCTACCCCTGAGGGTATCTACGTCTGGCGGGGCTATGCTGAGGCTCTTCATTAAGTATTCGTGGGTGGACCACTGTCGCCCATCTACCCTCCGGAGTTATCAGGGCTTCATCAGTGGTGTGGCAGCCATAGCTGCCAGCTTCTTCGTCAGAGTGTTCATCGGCGCTGAAGGCTTCATCGCGGCACCTCTTCTCCATCTGGGCGGTCGGCGCTGGCCTCTGGGAGGCCATTTCAGGGTTGCGCTACTGGGTGCAGGGTAGAGAGTGGTGTGTGGAGTTCTGAGGGTGGCGAGATATTGAAACAAGCTCTGTAACGATAATTGTTTTGAGTTGGCTCATCATCAGTGTGAATACTATTGTTATCCTCGCAGGTGTCTTCTTGTGATTGGTTGTTGGGAGTTTCATCAGAGAGTGAGAAACACTGTGTGTCATCTCCACACCTGTGCATGGTTATGTTCTGCTGCCTATTCTCATCTATGTACAGTGTGTACTCTGTCTCCTCTCCCCTTCTTCTTATGCATGTATGGGTGTGTATGAGACCCTGTGTGTGAGTGGCGGTGAAAATCATCAGACAACCAAGTTCATAACACACATCCCGAAGGCAAAAGTCACATCCCATAGGCAAGGGTCACGTCTCGCAGTCAAAGGTCATATCACGCACGCAAGAGTCACGTCTCACAGTCAAAAGTCATATTCCACAGGCAAGGGTCACGACCCGCAGGCAAAGGTCACGTCCCACAGACCCAAAGCAGCAGCACACCAAGAAAAACCCACGGAGGTACCGGGCCTCAACATTCTGAAGCAAGCAGGCCGTGGGCAGCCGGTGCCGGATCCAAGTCGAGCCAAGAAAAGCTGAGGCTGGGGCGATTCAAGGCTCACTCCAAGTCAGTACAAGGACTTGCCAGCCAAATTTCGAACAGATTGCTCATTCACAAGGAGTGTGGAAGTCCTGCTGAGCGCTTGTGCACTATCTGCGAGTAGCTAGCGCTGGAGCCCTGGCTGGGCAGCACTGTGCTGAGGAAGGAAGGCGGCCATAGCCACACAGCGAGTAGGAGGTAGAGCTTAGTCGCGGATGTATCCAGAGCCTACTTGCGGCGCACAGCACCAGTGCGCGCTGCACTATGTGCCAGGCGAAGCGCAGATGCGCACGCGCGCACACGCATGCGTTGGGGTGGGGGGAGAGAGAGAGAGAGAGAGAGAGAGAGAGAG